GGCTACTGAGTAATTGAAATGTGGCTGGTATGACTGAGAAACTGAACTTTTAATTTAATTAATTTAAATTTAAGTGGCCACATGTGGCTAGTGGCTACCATATCAGTGCAGCTCTAGAGTCCAGGTTTGGGGGAGTGGTGAGGCCAACAACCAGAACCGAGACAAGAGAGAGAACAGTGAACTAGGGTCAAGTTTTGGATAGGTGGAGGTGAAGGAACAAAGACCCCATGAGTGGGGAGGGCCTGTCATGTTAGAGAGCTGGCGTCTGAGACTGCTCACTGGGCAGCCAACCCCATCCGTGTCCTGGGTCTGCCGCTGCGCATAGTGTGCAAGTAGCTGGGTCAGAGGTCCAAGGCGCAAAGAGCAGCCCCGCAGTGTGAGTAGGGCTGGGAAGAGGAAGTCTTAGGTCTTTGTCTGTTTCTTTCTTCTTTTTTGCTGAGGAAGATTGACCCTGAGCTAACATCCGTGCCCATCTTCCTCTATTTCATATGTGGGACGCCTGCCACAGCATGGCTTGATAAGCGGTGTGTAGGTCCACACCTGAGATCTGAACTTGCAAACCCTGGGCCTCCGAAGCGGAGCACATGAATTTAACCACTACGCCACTGGGCCAGCCCCTCTGTCTGTTTCTCTGTGGTGGAAATACCTGTCCATAGGGCTGCTGCTCAAGGTAAGCCACTGAAGGCTTCTCTGCCCTGGGGAGTGGGGTAAGGGAGGCCTCTAAGGACAAGCAGTCAATCTGAAACCCAAACCACGCTGGGATCCAGAGAAACTGGAAGAGGGTCAAAAGTCACAGCTTGTTTCACTTCTTCTGGCCTGGTGGGGGCTGGGGCATGGCTGCCTCCAGCCAGCTCCAGGGGCTTCTCAATGTGCTGTGGGAGGAGGTGGTTGTGTGTGTGTGTGGGGGGGTGGGAACCAGGGTGGTGTCCATCCTTTACCTTTAACTAATTCTTTGACCTTGAGAGCAGGCTGCTACAGCTCAAGCTGGGCCTTGGCCAAGTCACATGACAGGTTCCAGGGCTAGCAACAACAGGAAACTGGGACTGCCAGGCTGCCCCGTTCTCAGCAGCCTCCTCCCCTGGAAGGCAGCTTCCTGGTCACACGGAGCCTGAGCACCACTCTCAAAAGAAGACATTTTGGTGGCCCCTCCTTGACCTCCCTAGCTCTGTCTTGAGACCTGGAAGTTTCTCCTAATTTTTTTTTTTTTGGTGAGGAAGATCAGCCCTGAGCTAACATCTGATGCCAACCCTCCTCTTTTTTTGCTGAGGAAGATTGGCCCTGGGCTAACATCCATGCCCATCTTCCTCTACTTTATATGGGACGCCGCCACAGCATGGCTTGATGAGCGGTGGTGCGTTGGTGCACGCCCGAGATCCAAACCTGCGAACCCTCGGGCCACTGAAGCGGAGTATGCGCACTTAACCGCTGAGCCACCGGGTTGGCCCCTCCTAATTTTATCTCACTTTTTCTAACTCAACTTGCTTTCCTTTGCCCTGTCCTCAACCAAGGTGAAGGATCACAGCACACCCCACGATAATCTGTGCCCCACTCAGCCCCTTCCCAGACAGCCTCACTCAGCCCTCTCAAGAACACTCCCTTGGGCCGGCCCCATGGCTTAGCGGTTAAGTGCGTGGGTTAAGTGCGTGTGCTCCGCTGCTGGTGGCCCGGGTTCGGATCCCGGGCGTGCGCCGACGCACCGCTTCTCCGGCCATGCTGAGGCCGCGTCCCACATACAGCAACTAGAAGGATGTGCAGCTATGACATACAACTATCTACTGGGGCTTTGGGGGAAAAAAAATAAATAAATAAAATTAAAAAAAAAAAAAAAAGAACACTCCCTTCCCTTCCTGATCCTCTTCCGCCTTCTTCTTCCTACTACTCCAGAAGACATCATATTCTACAACGGAGATTTACCCTTTTTTTGAGCCACAAACTCCCTTAGTAGTGCAGCAATGCTGGTATGTTCATAAATGCATAACATAAAATACATAAATTATATTGAAAGTTATCAAAATATTAAAACAACCAAATGTGATACAGTAATATGTGTGCTATGTAATACATCATAATATGTCTGCTATAGTAAATTATAAGATCTAGTGGTAGACATAATAACTAGCTTAAATTTCAAAGTACCGATGAGCAGAAATGATTTTTAAGGTTCTGCAACAACGGCAGTGTGGCAGGAAAATACCTGTTAATACTATCATGGATTGTTGCTGACATTCATAATCATAGAAAATGCTAAATTTCAGTAAGGTTCCTGGAAATAAAAATGCACTTTTCCCCCCCACCCAAATGCACAGACATCTAAATTCTATCCACAAACCTCAGGTTAAGAACCTCTGCCTACTGGAGAGATGAGAGAAAGGTGCATGGTATTTGGATTTCCTTTTTAAATTCCCCAAAGGAGAAGCAGAGAAAAAGGTTTTATATTGCAGAATGAAGGGGGGAGGTTAGACAACCAGAAGAACCTCCAGACTTTTCAGGTGGAAAAGATGACCCTGAGGTATATCAGCATCCTCCTTCTGAAATGGGGCTGAGTGAGAAGCCTCCGGACTCAGATGTCCAAGTAACCAGGTGGGGGTCGGGCTGGCAGTAGTTGCTCTGCTCTCCTGGGAGTCCACGTACAAGAGAGAGATGCATCTCAGCTTGATCATCTCAAATCCCAAGGTACTATTATGCTAGGCATTATCTCTCCCTCTTCTCTCCCGCCCTTCCTTGACTCCAGCACCCTCAATTCTCAGCATGGCCTCCTCTCTCCACCCCTAAAACAGCTTCAAAGCTAGCATTGCATTGGCCCCCGGCCAGAGGACAAGGTTTCTGGCACCTGGAAAATACAGAGCAGCCCATCTCAGGTGTTCCTCTCACCCCTCAGTCTCAAGGCTCTCCACAGGGACAGGCTTGGAGCTTTTGTCTCCTCAGCCCAGAGTCTGGGCTTCCAGAAACAAATCCCACAAGAAAAACAAAGTGTGGTGCAAATTCGAGTTCTAAAAGTCTTCTTCAGGAGTGAGGGCTGGGAGACAGGCCCAGGTCTTATGGAGGTGCAAGTTTGGCCTCAGTGCTCTCTGGGGGTCTCCTTCCTGGTCCGGAGGCTATCTCTGGTCTCTAGGGAAGTGAAGTACCTTATCTCCCCCACAGGAGTAGGGTCCTGGTCAGAGAGAGGGGGGATTTCCTGTCCCAGAGGAGAGAAGGATTTTGAGATCCAAACCAGCCAGAGGCCATGTTCTGGGGTAGAAGCTCCCAATGGATTTATCACATCTCCCCCAAGGAGGGCAGCTACAAGCCCTGGCCTAGCCCACCCTCTTCTCCTCACTTCTGTAGCTAGCCCTAACAGCTCTGCACACAGGCTAAAACCCGGCATTGATATGGGAAGACAGAAGGGATTCCTGCAGCCACAGGCCTCCAAGCTGTCAGGAAACATGGCCCCTCCCCAGCACCTGTGAGCCAGGGGCTGCACAAACTGAGGACTTCAAGGGCTTCAGCCACCTTTCAAGATACCCAGATAGATAATTTAAAAAGTAGCCTTAAGGCAAGATATCTCTCCCCTCGCCAATACTGCAGTCCCCAAGCCCCGCCTAAGCTCACAGAAACGCTGGAGCCTGCAGTATTTTGCAACCGGAGCGGCACAGCCAAATCCGCTTTCTCAACTGGGAGAGGCCGCACCCGCGTTTCCCTGTCGCGCAATGCCAGTCAAGCCCAGCAAGTGCCAGCCTGCTCGGAATTACCGGGTCTGAGTGTGCCCGGAGGAAGGATGCAGGTCCCAGGGCCGCTCTCCACAGAGGCACTTGCCCTTCAGAGCTCTCGGACGCCGGAATCTGGCCAAACCGCTGCGTTCCGGGAACCACCAGTCCCCTCCCTCCCGGAACCCACGGCTTCAGCTCGGGAGCCCCAAGGCCACGGAGGGGAGCCCCTGCCTAGGGAGGAGGCGGCGCCGAGGGGATAAACATGGGAAAACACGCGGTGGGAGGGGAGCCCCTGGTGAGGGCCCGAGGGCGCGGGGCCCGGGAAGGATGAGACTGGGGTCTCTTCTGGAAGGGTCTCGGGCGGCCCGGAGCGCGGCAGACTCCGGCCCAACACACGGGCTCCCACCTCGTCCTCCACCCCGGGCACTGCCTTCCATCCTCTTCCCTGGCATACCCTTCTCCGTCCGCTCCCCGGGCCCGCACCCACCCGAGCCCCCTCCTCATCCACCCTCCCTGGCCCAGCCCCCGCCCGCGCCCCACTCCCCTCGCTGCCCCCTCACCTGAAACCACCAGCGCCTCGTTGGGCCCCACGGTGTGGCAATTGCCCATGGCGCCGGCGGGACCGAGGGCCCTCGGGGACCGCAGAGGCCTGGACAGCAGCAGCCGGCGCGCACCCGGCAGCACCGCCGGCCGCGCCCAGCCTATCCCGCTACCCCCAGCGGCCGCCCGCCTGGCCCCCGGCGGTCGCCGCGCCGCCGGAAGTGTGAGGGCGGAGGGCGGGGCCGGCGCGTCGAGAGAGGCGGCAATGAGCGCCGGCCCGGCAGTCAACACGCTTTATTACAGGGGGTCCGGATCGCGGGGCCCAGCCCAACAGCACCGCGGGAAGGTCTCCTCCTACTCCCACGGGGCGCCTCGGTCACAACCGCCCTGCCCTGCTTCTCCTCCCGGCACCCACCCTACAGCAGTCGGCCCTGGAGTCAGATGGCCAGGGTTCAAATCTCAGCCCCTGCTCTTAGGAGCTGCGAGACATTGGGTGAGTCCCTTACCTCTGCAGCCTAATACCACCTCTGCAGCCTAATACCGCCTCTGCAAAAAAGGGGTAATTTAACGACCTGGCTATGTGGTTGCAAAGGGCCCAGTTCAGTAATTTTCCATGTTGGCAGTGCATCAAATTACAAATTCCCAGGCCCTCATCCAGAGCTGATCTGCATCGCCAAGGGCGGGGCCTGGAAACAGGAAATTCAAATTCCTGAGAAGCAGTGTCTGGCACAATACCGTAGCCAACCCCCCCAATCTGGGATTACTGTCATTCTCGGGAAGAAACAATCCCGTTATTTCCTTCCACCAGGAAATGAGCTGTCCAGGACACACCTTGAAGCCCCAGAAAGCAACCATGGAGGTGAAAATTGCAAACCCCTCAACGCCCAGGGAAGGCCTGGCACACAGCTAAGGTTTTCAAGGGCAACCAAGTGCCATGGAAAGCATCCCAGCCTGGGGGTTAGGAGGTGTGGTGCTCAGGTTCTGCTTTAACTGAAATTCGGCGTGTGACCTTAGACAAGTCTGGTGAACTCTGAGGGCTGGGGTAGGGTTCAGAAACTGTGGGCTCCTCAGAGTGAAGGTTGCTCAAAGCAGATGGGGCCCCTGGGTCCTCAGGCTGGGAGTCTTCATCGGGTTCGGCCTCCTCCCCAGGCCCAAGCCCTGCCAGCCTTTTGCTGGTCTCCCACAGCCGGTGAGCTGCCCGGTCGTCTCGGGCAGCTGGGGGCACCTCCTCCACACGGCAGTTGGCAAAGTATCTCCCACTAAGGGGCTCAATGCCCTCCTGCAGAGCACAGTACAGCGGGGTCTGGGCACCCCCTCTTGGTGCCCGCAGCACTAGCCAAGCCAGTGGACGCAAAAGTGGGCACAGCCATCCGGGAACGTGGCGCAGGAACAGCTCCGAGTTCACAGGCCCTGTGGACAGGAAGAAAGGAAGGAGTGGGGAGAGTGGGTGAGGGCCCAGGGTAAGAGCAACGAGAGAAAGGGGCTAGAAGGGAGTGGGGAACAGAGTCCAATTCCAGGGAAACCAGGGTAGTATGTACCAGGCATTCAGGACCCCTACGAGGTGACCTTGCTCATTTCCAACAGCAAGCTTCCTCCTCTCCATCCAAACTCCTTGGACATCCCCATCTCCAACATTTCGCTCATGCCAGGTCCCCTGCCTGAAACAATTCTGTCTCTCTCCATCTTTTCCACTAGCTCATCTTGTTCTTTTGATTAACCAGCAAACATTTATTAACATCTATGGTAGACCAGCGACTGTTTGGACATTAGAGACGCAGAGTGTAATAAAGGCTGGATAAGGGTTAGTTGTGATTATTATTGTCAGTATTATAATAATGAGCCTTAGGCAATGACTGTCTAAAATGCAATATGGTAATATGCGTAGGGCTGATCTTATTATCCTGTAACCTGTTCCCTACAGGCAGGGATGGGTCTTCATCAGTTATCTCAGGCAAACTAAAAGCCAAGATGCTTATAGTGGACCTCCAGACCCCAGATGACCCAGCCCATCTCTATGACTGATCTCTTGCCACTTGTCCCCTCTCACTCTGTTCCAGCCACCTAAGGCTCCCTGTTCTTTCTCAAGCACACCAGGCACTTCTGCCTTAGGGCCTTTCCACTTGCTCTTTGCTCTATTCTTTACACTCTTCTCCCCAGAAAGCCACATGGATTGTCCAGAGTCCACGTGGACTCTGGAACTCTCATCTCCTTCGGGTCTCTACTCAAATGTCACCTTTTCAGATATGTCTTCCTGGACTGCCATAGATAAAATAGCACCCCTGTCATTTCAGATTCCCCTTACCCTGTTTTATCTTTCCCCATAGCACTTTATTATCACCTGTCATTGTATATATTTATTTATTAGCTGTCTCCCCCTCCCCTCAACTAGAATGTAACTACAAGGATGGGGTGTTTGTTTTGTTTACTGCTATATCCCCAGCACCGAGATTAATGCCTGGCACATAGTAGGTACTCAGTAAATGCTTCTTAAATGAATGATCATTAGCTATCATCATTATCATCATATTACAGTCAGTTCAGTCATTTGGATGGCTCCTTGGGATGAGAACCTGGGCCTTATTCGTTGCCATACCCTGACCAGTAGTCAGCATCCAGGCTTGTGGTGTGAGAGGAAGAACCCAGACAGAGAGCCTGTCCAAGATCAGCAAGGACTCAATCTCTCCGTGGACCATCCTTCCTTTCTGCTCTGAGATTCTGTGGCTCAGTGAGAGGCTAGGGGAGCACAGGATGGGGCAAGGATGGGAGTGGGGGAATCAAAGCAAAGCAGAGCAGCCAAAGAGCCAGGCCTCACCTGGGTGGGCTGCATAGCAGGTGACGCCAGTGCCCTCAAGCTGAGTGGCTAGCTCCCGGGCAAACAGTACGTTGGCCAGCTTACTGTCGGCATATGCTCGCAGCTCCTGCCGCCAGCCTACCACTGGGCGGTTCAGGTGGGTGAAGTCCAGACGCCCTCGCCGGTGGGCGGCTGAGGATACCACAACCACCCGGCTAGGGGCGCAAGTCTTCAGCCGGGGCAGCAACAGATGGGTCAGCAGGAAGGGGCCGATGTGGTTCACTCGCAGCAGCAGGTTAAAGGGCTCTCGGGTCCGGCCACAGGAACTGATCCCTGGGGCAGGGGCTAGGTGTTAGCAACTGCTCCAGAGGGACCCCCGCAGGTCTCAATGTCCCCCTCTGTGAGACAGTGGTAGGGGGCATCCTTCCCACATATCCACTGGCCTCCAGCAAGGCCTGGCTGGAGTGGACAGCTGCCCCTGGCCACCCACCGCCCCCCTGCAGGGCCTGCTGCCCCTTACCGGCATTGTGGATAAGGATGTCCAGCCGTGGCTCAGAGCTCAGGAAGGCAGTAGCAAAGGCCCGCACGGAGGCTAGACTGGCCAAGTCCAAGGACATGAAGATGACCTCATTGTTCCCACTCTCCTGTGGAGCGGCAAGGGCTGAGCTCATCACCAGGCCCCTCTCTCCTCTTCCCTCTCCCCAGGCACCAAATTCTGACAGTCCACCTCCTGCTATTACTAAGATCTGCCCCTATGCATTAGAATCTAGTGGATAAGGGTGTGGACTCTGGAACTAAATCTTTTTTGTGTGTGTGAGGAAGATCAGCCCTGAGCTAACATCCACGCCAATCCTCCTCTTTTTGCTGAGGAAGACCAGCCCTGAGCTAACATCTATTGCCAATCCTCCTCCTTTTTTTTCCCTTTTTCTCCCCAAAGTCCCAGTAGATAGTTGTATGTCATAGTTGCACATCCTTCTAGTTGCTGTATGTGGGACACCGCCTCAGCATGGCCAGACAAGCGGTGCGTTGGTGCACACCCGGGATCCGAACCCGGGCCACCAGTAGCAGAGCGCGCACACTTAACGGCTAAGCCACGGGGCCGGCCCTCTGGAACTAAATCTTGACTTTGCCTCTTACTAGAGTGTGACCTTGGGCAAGATACTTAATCTCTCTGGGCCTCAGTTCTCTCACTGTAAAAGGGGAATAATAATAATAGTACCTATCTCATAGAGTTGTTGTGAGGATTAAATGAGTTAATATCTGTAAAATACTTAGAACAGTACCTGGCACATAGTCAGCACTATGTAGGTACTTGCTATTATTATCATTATCATTCCTTCTGCCCATTATTGCTTTCCCTAAAATCTCTACAATGACTTCTCACTGGTCTCCTCTAACCCACTCTTGCCCCATCCGGTCCAGGCACCACACAGCCACCAAGGGGTTTGTTCCAAAAGGCTATTCTGACAGTCCAGACCCTGCTAAGGACCCTCATTGGATCCCCACTGCCCATCCTATAAAATCTGATCTCCTCAATAGAGTCTATAAGGGCCTTCAGAACCTGGCCCTGGCTCAGAGCCTCCAGCCCCTTCATTTTGCCTCTTTTCCTCATATTCTGAGCTCCAGCCCCATTAAACCTTTTTTTCAGTTTCTTAAATCAGAAAAATCATCTTGCCTCAGGGCCTTTGCAAGATGCTGTTCCCTCTGCTGTTCCTTTTCCTACTGTTTTTCATTAATGTAACTTCTACTGATTTTTAAACGTCTCAGAACAGCAATTACTTCCTTCAGGGAGCCCACTCCCCAGCTGGGGGCTGGTGCCCCGTCCCTGTGTGACCAGAGCACCTGTGCACCCCTCTTCCGCACTTAACGAACCGAGCCGCACTTTCCTCTCAGTGGCTGGGTCCCGCTGAGCCCCTCTGCTCACCCCTTGGCGTTCGGGCGTGTCTATACAGCGTTCACGTCCTGCCCGCCCCGCCCTCCCTCACCTGGCGGAGGTCGAAGGCGGCCGCCTCTCCGCGTTCCCGGCTCCGGCAGGCCAGCACCACGCGCGCACCCCGGCGCGCCAGCTCCAGCGCCGTCATCTTCCCGATGCCGCTGTTGGCGCCTGCGGGCGGCGGGCGGGAGCCGAGC